ATGTCTACCGTGACGAGCGTCCCTGGATTCGCATCGCCTACGGAACTGACGGGCACCTCATCAATCGCCGATGTATGCAGGCCCTTATACGCGCCTCCATGACCACAGTTGCTGACCTGCTTTTCGCGGACGACTGCACCCTTAACACCACAACAGAAGCCGGCATGCAAAGAAGTATTGAACAGTTCGCTGCTGGTTGCACAAACTTCGGTCTTACCATCAGCACGGATATAACGCTGATCATGCATCAGTCGCCACCCGGTGTTGATTACAATGCTCCACGTATCAACGTCAACGGCGCCGAGCTCAAAACTGTGGACGACTTCGCCTATCTTGGCAGCACGCTATCTCGCAACACCAGAATTGACGACAACATTGCTCATCGGATCTCCAAAGTCAGTCAGGGTTTTGACCGGCTTCAAGCCATCGTGTGGAACTGTCACGGTCTCTAGCTGTCCACAAAACTGAAGATGTATAAGGTCGTCGTTCTTGTGACACTCCTGTACAGAGCGGAGACTTGGACCAAGCTTAGAAGCTGAACCCTTTCCATTTCAGCTGTTTCCGCCAAATACTGAAGATGAGGTGGCAGGACAGGATCCCGGACACGGAAGTCCTGGAGAGAACGGGAATTCGTTGATTGACGTTGAGCTGACCGCTAACGAAACTCATGGGTCTCGCTCTGCCTTGGGCTTCGACGGAGGCTCTGACAGCCGTACAGCTTTTCCGGCAATACTATCTGCCTATACTATCAGAACGGGAATTATCAGCGTGCAGACCATACTCAGGCAGATACAACTGCGCTGGAGCGGCAACCTGGTACGAATGGACGACTGGAATGATTATTAGTATTAGCGCCACTAGTATTGGAATATTATTGTTATCAGCAGTAACTTAATCTTAGCACTTTAGACATAACAGTCTTGCTATTTGCTACTTGCTGTCAGTTGTAGTACAAGTGATCTTATTGGTGTTATTATTACTGGTACTATTAGCTGCAGTTATAGTTGCAACAGTCGCAATTTCATCTTCGCTATGGCACCAACACAAGCTCATCCAGCGAAAGCTTTTAGCGCTCCCAAAATAACCTTCACAGAGAAGTAAGCTGTGCTCCCGTTTCTTCCTCTCTTCTTCTTATTCGTTTTTACGCAACCTGCTTTACCACGCTCACCTCCAGCTTGTTTCCTTTTTAGAACTGCCAACTGACGGGCACACAATCAACCCAGTGTGTATTGCGTGTGTAGTGGCTGATGAGTGGACTGGGAGTCAGGTGACAGCTCCTTATAATTCCCTGGTTGTGTAAATTCTAGTGTGTGCGTCAAAGGGGTCAGGTCGTGTACGGTGGAACGCGCGAACGGGATTGCTGTCCTGTCAGGTGACCAATTAGCTAGACAGCGGCTTGATGCTGGCGGTGGGGGAGGGGGGGAAGTGTGGTCGACCCTCGGCGCATTTCTCTCCTTATTATAAATAATCTGACGCGTTTGAAGCTATCACAGTCCGGTAAAAGCCGTGACTTGAAGGATTACCAACTGTCGGGATAACTCGGACCGCGCAGTCAGTCCAGTGCGTGTCTTATCATATGGGGTGGCTAACTGGCGAACTGAGAGTCAGGGTGCAATGACCTGTTTTTAGTGTGGACTTTATGGTCCTCCCATGTAAGTTGGGGCCTAGCAAGGCGTGCTGTTGTGGCGGGCATTGGGGTGGCAGTCGCACGAGAAACCTGCCCCCCCCCACCTCTGGCCTTCTTGACTTTGTCTTGACAGCGGGTATAGGTGCGGAAGTGGAGTAGATCCTGTGCGAGCCTACTTTCACTATAATCCAGTGCCAGTCACCGCGTTTGCCTTCAGCTTACTGAAGCCCATGATGGATATCGTCGTAAACGACGGTTGTACTGTCGGTTGATCAGTAGACTGGGAGTCAGAGAACGACAGCCCCTTCCAATCCCCTCATTGTGTAAATCTTGGTGCGT